AAGACATTAAACTTGCTTTTATAGAGGCTTATGTGAGGATTTTCGGTTGTTCCCTCTCAAAAATCAGTCCTGCAAATAAATCCACTACAGTTATTAACCCTCATGCATTTTTACTGGTTGGCTAGCAATTTGCAGCATGTCTTTGATAGTCCCTTGAATCTCAAACGAAACTCACACATCTTTTTTAGACACCCCTATGCAATCAGTAAAACTGCAGACTTGACAAGAAATTCCCACCAGTAAATCCCGTTCTTGCATTAAGCCTGAAAAGGCATCTAAGCAGACTGCCCTCCACTCTAGCCTTGAATTAATATGCACCTATTTCTGCAATCCCATTAATTTAGTGGCAGACTCTTAAAGCATTTACTAGCAGAGGGGGGGAAACATAATGAACTGAAAGCACAGAACAATATATCCGCTCATAATAATGTATTTAGAGATGTCACCCTTGGCTTAAAGGAAATCGTTTAGAGAGCAATTATGTTTCAAAAGAGATTCATTCTTGTAAAGAATTGAAATTTAAATCAAGATTTTTTAAGCTTGCCAGAGCTATAATTGCAATGCCTGCAATGATTTCTGCTCTACAGAGAAGGGTCATTTCATCGCAAAATTGCCTGAATATCTGAATAATGTGAGCCTGAAATTTCCTTCAGCTTTTTCACAGGAAACATTCACTTTTTAAAAAATAAAATTCTTTGGCAATTTCAGAGGGGATAAAGGAACTATTCTCAACTTAAAATTGCATCTCTGCATACTCTTCAGGTGCAGAATGGAATGCATGACTCACTGCTATATCTTTGCTCCATTGACACAAAATGGGAAGATCCTTTTCAATTACACAGCCAGGGTTCTCATCAGATTTTTTTATATTTCGGATTTTTGTGCTTTGAATGGGATGGGGGCTGTCGAAGGCCTTCTTTAGGCATAATACTTAAAGCATGATTTGTTTTCCTACAGAGGGATCAGGCATTTGGTGTACAATGGCCTTTTCAGACCTACAAACAATTTCCACTAGCCGAATGCAGAAGTCATGGGGCCAGTGGCTAGTAGGACTGGTTTATAATGTCACTAGTTGATTTGGATCACTGTCATTTTAACTGTAGGTGTATACATTTGTAGACTCGCATTAGTTTGTGTGATTAGGTGTCTTCTTCTTTGGTGATCACTCATAGCCAAGTAAGATTGTCTTCCATAAACACGGTTTTAACAATGAGTCCATAAGGGACTGTGGAGGCCAATTCTGGATCCACACATCCTTCCACAGTTGGGGACTTACGTTTCCAGGTGGGAGTTGATCACGGTGTGGATTTACCAAGCGTGCCTTCTTCTTAGCACATTTCTCCCTGAGTTCGAGTGTCTTCTTTTTTTATATATATAAAATATTTATTGAAATTTTCAAAAAAGAGAGAAAAAACAGGGGGAAAAATTAAAAACGCATAAAGTTTACATTCCTTATTTTCAATAACATCTTTCCCTGACTTCCCCACACCTCCCCTTCTTGTATTCCAGTTCCAATTGTTAGCTCAGCAAGTTCTTGTCCCCAAATTTCACCTTATTATATTTAATTCATTTTAATTAACTAATTTTAACTTATAAACCTCAATTTGTACATCAATGCTCATTCTTAAAACCCTTTTCTAAAGTCGACCCAAGTTCCCTTCCACGAATTTCCCAATTTTTATACTGGTAACAAAACAGAATAAAAAGAAACAAAATATAATTGTACACCCTTTGGATTCCCAAAACCCCACCCCACCCCCTTTCCCGGTTTCGATCCCCAACAAATGTCCATCAGTCTATCAGCTATCAACCTGGAGACCTCACGTCCGAAGCTCTTAATTCTCTCTCAGTTCCTCTGCCGGTTTTTTTGATAGTCCTTTGTATTGAACACCAAGTCTCGGAGAAGCTCTGTCCCAATAGGGTCCATGTTTCTTCCAGCCAGACCTCCATATTCAAAAGTGGAGCCCAAATCTTGTTTCTTACTCCTTTCAAATCCAAATGTCCCAAATGTCCCAAAAGCTCCAGCTTCCACCTTAATCAGCTTTGTAATCCATAGGTCTTTGGATCTCCCCATAAGGAGATCTCTCCATTCTTCATTCTCCACTTCAAACCAGATTTTCATCATCCAGATCTTGTTTTCCTTTGGATCCATCTTAGCAGGCCTCTGGCTCTCTTTTATCATCTGCAGCATTACAGCTCCTCCTTCCTTTTCCTCCAGAGCAGCATATATCTCTTTCTCCACTCTCTCAAAGATCTCAGATTTCTTTTCTTGTTCAGCTGCATGGGCCTCTTGAATCAAATCCTTATCACATTCAGTGAGTTTGTTTACTGTTGAATTCAGAATTGTAACACTTGTAGCCAAAACATCACTTTGCCCTTGTAACTTTCCCAAGAGAAAAAAACTCTGTCCAATTCAGCCTGTATTTTTCCACCTGCAGCCATTCTTGTAGTGTCCCTGAACCCCCTCTAGAGGGATTCTGGTTACTTAGTATTCCTTCCAGTTCCAATCCAAAAGTCAAGTTAACTTGTTTCAGTTCTTCTTTATTTTCAACAATTTAAAGCCAAGTTGTAACAAATATAACCAGCAAAGACAACAGAAACAAAGTTCTCTTTTTTCCCCCAGCTTTGACAGCTAGTTTGACATCTTCTATGTCTCCTCAACAGGCTCTCTCACGGATCACTCCCGGGTCCCGGGGGGTTGCACTTCAGCTCTCAAAATCAACTCTTATCCTCCAGCAAAATTACTTATACTGCCAGATTGTGAAATTAATAACTTTTATCCAATAAAGAAAAAGATGCTCTCTCGACCTTAGTTATCTAGTCCTTGCTTTAAATTATCTACAGGACGGGGAGACGGACTTCCTTTTTGCGCCTTCCCCGATCGTGCCTAATTCAAAAAAAAGGATTTTCCCTTTGTAAATCCAATTTCCGTACTACTCACGGGCTGTTACTTTTAGAGTCCAATTGTTCAAAGGAAGAAGTCAGCGCTCTCCAGCCATGGCATGCGGCTTCGCTCCGTAGGAGAAGCAGTCGACTCTCAGCACTGCGCCGCTCCCTGTCCCCCGTTCCGAAGCCTTTAAAAAGGCTCCTTCGCGGGTCGGGGGCGCAAATGGTGCCCGCCAAGTCACCAGGTCCACAGGCTTCAGCGCCTGTGGTTTCTGAGGGTCCCCGCGTCGTCGCCGCGGCAGGACCCGTCTCCTACAAAGCCGATTCTGGAGTTCGGAGGGAATCCGCCATTAGACGATGGCGCTAACCCGGAAGTGAGTGTCTTCAATGCCCATGACACCTTTGGTAAAGGCTGTTCTCCAACTAGAGCGCTTGAAGGCCAGCGTTTCCCAGTCGTCGGTGTTTATACCTCATTTTTTTAGATTTGCCTTGAGACAGTCTTTAAACCTCTTTTGTTGACCACCAGCATTACGCTTTCCATTTTTAAGTTCGGAATAGAGTGGTTGCTTTGGAAGACGACCATCAGGCATCCGCACAACATGACCAGTCCAATGAAGTTGATGTTGAAGAATCATTGCTTCAACACTGGTGATCTTTGCTTCTTCATTAGTTTGTGTGATTGGGTATAATGCCACTGCCATTATATGTCACTCGCACACACACAATGCTAACGGTTGACCAGTACTGCAACCGTCCTTGCTCCTTTCTCTCTCACATCAATGCCTACAAATGACACACAGCCACATCTGCTGTTACCTTCAGCCCTTGTGTGCTGACAGTAGACTTCTTCTCAGTTAAAGGTAAAGGGACCCCTGACCATTAGGTCCAGTCGTGGATGACTCTGGGGTTAGGGCGCTCATCTCACTTTTCTGGCCGAGGGAGCCGGCGTACAGCTTCCGGGTCATGTGGCCAGCAGGACTAAGCCACTTCTGGCGAACCAGAGCAGCGCACGGAAACGCCGTTTACCTTCCCGCCGGAGTGGTACCTATTTATCTACTTGCACTTTGACGTGCTTTTGAACTGCTAGGTTGGCAGGAGCAGGGACTGAGCAACGGAAGCTCACCCTGTCACGGGGAATCGAACTGCCGACCTTCCGATCGGCAAGTCCTAGGCTCTGTGGTTTAACTCACAGTGCCACCCGTGTCCTCATCTTCTGAGTTAGAATGTCCATAAACATTCCATAACATCTTAGCAACTACAGCTCATTTCAGTCAGCCTGAAACTCATTCCCATTACTCTCACTGCGGATCCCTGTGGGGGTTTAAAACAGTCCACCCACCTTGCCTTTGCGTCAGGATTGGTTGGCTGGTTAATTAATCTGATGCAAGGCTCCTATTGTCAGAGCCACTTTTCTGCGAAACTGCATTTTCTGCACTTAAATTTGACATCCAGCCAGGATGTCCCCTTTTCAGCACCTGCTTCAAATATTTCTGTTTAGGCAAGGCTATCCAGACGCGTTGATGTGTTTTAATCTATTTGTAGTTTACAAATCATTTTAACAGTTCTTTAAATTTTGTCATTTTCTTGGTTTTAACCTATTTAATTGATAATTTTGCTGTTTCTTGTAAACCATGGAAAGGTTTTGTTACAGTCAAGCAGGCATGTAAATTTGGTTAAAGGTAAAGGTAAAGGGACCCCTGACCATTAGGTCCAGTCGTGAACGACTCTGGGGTTGCGGCGCTCATCTCGCTTTATTGGCCGAGGGAGCTGGCATACATGTGGCCAGCATGACTAAGCCGCTTCTGGCAAACCAGAGCAGCGCACGGAAAAGCCGTTTACCTTCCCGCCGGAGCGGTACCTATTTATCTACTTGCACTTTGACGTACTTTCGAACTGCTAGGTTGGCAGGAACTGGGACCGAGCAACGGGAGCTCACCCCGTCGCGGGGATTCGAACCACCGACCTTCTGATCGGCAAGCCCTAGGCTCAGTGGTTTAACCCACAGCGCCACCCGCGTCCCGTGAATTTGGTTAAGAGTTTTCTAAAACTGACTCAGAGAGAGAGAGAGAGATTTGACATGCTGAATCGTTTTCTTGTTTTCTTTCTTTCCGCAGGAGCAACCAAGGGTTTATGCACATGAAGCTGGCGAAAACCAAAGAGAAATACATTTTGGGCCAGAACAGCCCCCCGTTTGACAGTGTTCCGGAAGTGATCCACTATTACACGGCAAAAAAACTCCCAATAAAGGGAGCCGAACATTTGTCGCTCCTTTACCCTGTTGCTGTCCGGACCTTATAATTTTGCGCTCTGGCCCGTGCTCCTCCTTCCTGTGGATTGGAGATGAGGGGTGCAGCAGCAAATGTGCTCCTGCGCCGTCTACAGCGATGCTTCTTGGGACAGATGTCCAGTCCTGCCTCCCCAGTAGCAGGCTGTTGTATAGTAATCATTGCACTACTTTGCATGTCCTGTGTGGAAATACTGGTTTCTATTTATATGAGAAAGAAATGGCGTTCAGCCGCTTGAAAGAAATGCAGGAATACCCTCTCCCACGTCAATGGAAAAGTTGCCAAATCCAAAGAATGGCCTTCAAACTTTCCTGAGATCAGCAAGCTTGACATCTTCTCGCCCGTGGGTGCAGAATATTCCACGTATCGAAGCAGAACCTGCAAAATGGACGCAAACTGTTATGGCGGGAAGGCTGAACGAGAAACGGCCCGTTGGCCTTCCTCAAACCCTCAAGGCCTGAGAACTGTTTATTAGGCACCCAACCCCAAATTTGTGTCGTCGTTTTTTCTGCACAGTTTAATTCAACATGCGAGAGCTTCACTTTCGTTTTGTTTTGTTACAATGATGATGTGATCTGAAAATCTCGATGAGTAATTTTGCGACAGTGAAACAGAAACACAAACAAACAAAAGTTCAGTTATTTATGAATAGGGTATGTACTAAAATAGTGGTTTAATATATATATATTTTTATCCCCCTTCCCCTTTTTTTGGTACAATAATAAAGCTCTAAGGGTTTTCTGTGCTGATTTCTAGATTAAAGGCAGTGAGTTCTGTTTTCTGTTGTGTACGTACAATGTGAGCTGTGGTGGTTCAGTGGTTTCCGGGTAGGGTGGGGTCATTACAGAGGAAGTTGATGTTTACACGACCAGATTTCGGACCCAAAAGGGCTTCTGCAGAGCAAGCTTCCTTGAGCTGATGATGGCACCTAAGCCAATAGTAGCCTTCCATCTAGATATCCAACAAGCTGGATTCTCATCCATCTCAGGGGTGGTGTAGGGGAAAGCGCATGAAGAACATGATTCTGCTTCTCCAGCTGAGATGTGCAAGTACATCATGTAGCGTAATATAAATCGGGGCTGTTTTCCGACTCGCGATCGTACAGCTGCGGCTATCCTGTTATGCCCACGCGCAAAATGTGTCTTGTTGTTACTGCTCCTCTTCTGCCTTCGTAACCAATTGGAAAAGCTCTTGTCCTTCGCAGTGCAAGTGCAGTTGGCTTTCTACCTCATCTTTAAAGCCTAGGTCCCTTCCCCATCCCCATCCAGTATATTCTCTGTTCCTGTTGAACAGGAAGACTGGTTAGCTGTAACTTAAGAGCAGAACTTAACAAGAAAAGGCCAGGGCCACAGCACAAAGCAGCAGCCCCTGGTCAGCTCCTTCCCTCTACCTTTCTGACATCAGTGTTGCTTACCCTGAGATCCCAAGGGTGTGTGTTTTCATGGCAACAGCAGCCAGTGAAGCAGATCAGAGGGGGTGGATGTGCACCACACATTGGGGTTGGGTCATGGGGTAATGGAGCTGAAACTCAACGCTGGGCTGGGCTGCCATCTTCAGCTGCAAGCCCCATGTTTCCCTGTGTCCACATTGCTCCAATAATATGGGCTTTGCAACAAACCTTGAGGCTGGTCCACTGCATTAACCCTTCCCGTAGCACTGTGCATTTCTCCATTGGAGATCCAAGTTGAGAGACTTGCTGTTTTCTCTCTTTTCAGACTTTCAACATGGATGCGAAATTGGCCTGTTTTTTAAAAAAAAAACAAAAAACTGGACTGTCTTTCAAGCATACAACTTCCCTTCATTTTTGTGCTGGTTTGAAAGTGTTAATGGAATACGCATTAATTCAACACTTGTGTAAAATACTGCTTCGTTGTACTGTACAAATGTGAAAAGAGAAGTCATATACATGGTGTCTCTTGTTGGCTAGTTCATTTTAGCCCCGTATGGACCAGTTTCCAAGCTGGTATTAATTCCAAGGTTCTGTTTTTACCTGTTTTGAGGACAAAAAAATAAACCTCTGTAAAAGTGTGTGTGGAATCAGCTGCCGATAATCTAAATGGAAATGTTCAAACTAACTGTGCATGCCAAGTGTCTGTCTGTTGTCATTTGGTTTTTTTTTACAAATATTGTGGGGTTTTCTCCCTAAATGGAGTAAAATAATCCATTTTTTTTTAAAAAAAAGCATTAAAACAACCAGTTTTCCTTTTTTTAATCTTCTTTACAGTCCCTCCTCCCTTCATAGCATGTGCCCTAGTCCTTTACAGTTGACTCAGAGATGCTCACTGTTGCATTAATCATCTGTAGCCAACTTGTGACCCGGGTGCTAGACGAGGACGTTGCAGTATACCTTGCCAGGAACAAAAGTGCCGGTGGGCCTGGCTATGGCATAGAGTCCAGCCTATATTCCTCTCTGTGCCTCTAGTGTTGCCCCTGCTGCATGTTCCCCAGCCCAATTGGCCAGAAGGCACCACCAAGACTTCAAAGGTGGGATATGTTCTCTGGTACATTGCTAGACTACCGCTATCTGAGAAAATCAGGAAGTTGCCTTATACCGAGTCCAAGCAGTTGATCCATCTAGCTCAGTGTGCACCAGTGTTCTGCAACCCTTTGGTCCCCAGATCTCACATCATCCATGACCATTAGCTAAGCGGACTGAGGATGATGGAAGTTGTATTCTAGCATCTCAGGATCCAAGATTGAAGAACACTGGTCTGGGCTAACTCGCAGCAGCTGCCCAGGATTTCAGAAACTGGTCTCTCCCAAACCTGCTTGAAGATTCTGGGGTCCGAACCCCAAAGAAAGGCCCTACCACTGAGCTACAATTTATGGCACATTTGGCAATAAGGGTGAGCTTAGAAATACTTGTGCCATAGTCCTCTGTTGACATTTTTGACCTGTTGATTCACCAGTGATTGTATTCAGCCACCAACAGGATTATTTACACAGCCAAGCCCCAGCTCAGTTCTTTAGCTGTGAAGATTGGTTGTGGGGCATTTTCACAGTGAAAATTGCTTGCAGCCACTGGGTACAGCAGAACAATTACCACTTGTGTGCCTCTGATAGTCAGGAGAACATCATAGGTCTTCACCTTCAAAGCCTCAGCAGAAAACAACAGAATTTACCCAAGCAACAAAAGGAGAACTCACTTAGGGGTCACTTGGCCATGGATGGCATTGAGTGTAAATATCCTGTGGCTTTTCATGAGTGATGTATGTGCATCTCTTAATACTTTGGAGTAGCAATTCACATGGAGATGTTTCCATTGCAGAACAGAGCTTAGGGTCCCACCTTCAGAGCTCTGTCATATGATTCTTGTTTCTTGATGGTTCATAATCTGTTCCTTCCACACCTTTTCTGATCTCAAGAAGACTTATTCCCGAGCATCAACCACTAGCAGTTAAGCATCTCTTCGCAGCAATAACATGCATTCCGTTGTACGATATGAGAGATTCTCAAGTCCTGTTTGTGAGCATCCCATAGGCCTCTGGATGGCCATTCTGAGAACAAGATGTTGGACTAATCTTTTATAACATTCCTTTCTGGTTGAAACCAAGTAGATACATTTTCCCACATCATTGATTTGATGCCCTTCATGCCATCTATCCCAGAAGCAGCTCCAGGTAAGCTCTCAACCAGCTCATCATCAGCGAGTCCCTCAAGAGGTTTCTGCTGCTAGTCAAATATGCTATCATTTTTTCTTGCAAAGAAGAGCGAGTTTGAACCCATGTACAGAAACCAGAACAAACCAGCTAAGCTCTCTGCACCATCAGCAAAAGAGCTTCCCACAGCTGCCTCAGGGACCCTTGAGATGGATGTAATTATGCCACCTCATACATTGGTATGAAAATTGTGTCACACATCAAAACTTACCATCTCTCTGAGAAGATTTCTGACCTAGTTGTTTTTCTAAGATGGCTATTTTTTTTTAATACCAGGTGCTTCCAGATTCCTTGTGTTTCAAATCTGGAAGGACACTACCACCTCAAATGACTTAATGTTTAAACTGACCCAAGGAGAATAGACTCCATGAGACAGACACTCGATCCAGAGCTATGGTTTCCACAACCGTGACTGGATTACATGCTGGTGTATGTTGCTTAGCCCTCCTCAACTACATACAGTTCATGTAAAAATACTTGGGTTCTAAAGCTGGATTTTATTTTTATCATTTGGAGCCAAGAACTGCGTTGGAAAATCTAGGGAAATGCAAAGTGAGGAACAACGTTCTGATTTGGAAGCATAATTTAAGTCTAGGAGGTGAGAATTGGGTCCCTTCAGATCAGAATTCACAAAAGATCAAAGTCCTCAAACTTCCCTAGGCGCCACAACCATGCTGTTAGTCCAGAGTATTTAGTGCTTGTTGCAAGCTGCACAGAATATCACTCTTTTTTACATTTGCTGTGGAGGAATCAGGAAGAGCGCTGCATGTGGAAATTTGAGCAACTTCCGCCTTCTTGCAGGAGGAGGTTGATGTGGGTGGTGCTTCTGTCACAGGAGGCGACCCTAAGTCCCAGTACGCCATCTTTCCAAGTCAGCCAAAGCACCATCTTTCCAAGTCAGCCAAAACACTTCTCAACATGGGTCTGTTGATCTGGTCAAGGGGTTTATGAATCGGTGCTTCCTGCCGTTTTCCCTTAAGCAGTTCCACTTTCGCACAGTTGCCAAAATTCGCCATCGTGTCCTTTGCTGTCATCCTGGCAGATAATTATTTTAGGACTCATGAGCTGTCAGCTGGTTTACTCTGCATCCCCCCCCTCACCCCACCCCATGGTAGCTTCTCCTTTCCATCTATTGCAGTGAAACTTCACAGGGTATTAACCGGGAGACTATCCTTAATATTGTGTGGCTTACGTCTGCCCCTCCTGCAGTCTCTCAATATGTTTCGCACAGATGAAAAGTGTTAAGAGGGCCTTACAAGAGTCTTCCCATGGACTTTAGCATGTGTCGGCCTTTTCCAAATTAATGGCACACGCATGCGTATAAACTAAGGTGTGTGATTGTGTGTTTGTGAGTGTGCACAGCTGTATAAATCCCAATTAAAGGGAATGCAATGGGCTTTAGAAAGTGTTTTTAATTTATTTTCTAACAGGATTTCTAAGTGGTGCAGCACGGCTGCAGCATAAACAGAGCCTGTCTGTTCTTTTGCACTGTAATATTGTCTCTTGTTTTATTTAAGTGATTGTGTGATGCTTATTCCCTGTCTCCTCTGGTTTTCAAAGTTTTCCTCTTTAGAAAAAAGAAACCCACACAAAACAATGTCACAGTTATTTGCGCCATTGCTTCTGGTCGAGAGACTGAGCAGCAACCGTGCCTGTGTAGTCCATTAAAAAGTTTATTTTAAATAAAAATTATAAACCTCTCCCTTTTCTTCCTCTCATTGTAGCAGTTTCCTCCCTGTCAGAGTGTATTCATATTTTCTGGAGCAGCGAACAATTGAGACTATTATTCCACCACAGAACAATCCATTGCGAGGTGCCCTGGCTTTTGTAAAGGCTGGTGTGTCAGCCAATGGCAGTGGAAATGAGAATTAGGCTGTGGGTTTTGTTTAATGGAATCTGTGCCAGGCAGCTCAGCCCTATTCAATAGCTTGCCGGAGAGAGTTGCTTGTTTTCTCTCTGCCGCTCATCCCAATACAATAGCTTTCGACAAGCAAACTGCATCGACTAATTATATCCGAATGCTTGGCAAGTCAATTAGCACCTTCTGGGGAGAAAATGGGATGGCATTAAGCTAGGAAAGTTCCCAGTATTAAAAGCTGGGGATAATACATCAGCCAGAAAAGCCCAGAAGACCATCTCCTGCAACACTCTGTTGTTTGAGTTGAAGAAACTTAGGCTGTGGTTGAAATTCCTAAACATGCAGGTCATTTCTCCCATCCTGCCTTGGGGATGAAGGGATACGTTCAGTTCTTGACAATTATGCGCAACCAGGACTCTGCCGAAACTGCCACTTACTCCTTTTTTGCAATAATTTTTGGCACTGCCAAAAGCTGCCTCTCCTTTTCAACGATTTTTGGCACGCTCCCGAGAAAACGATTGCTTACTCACTGAAATTGCCCTCGCTTTCTCCTTCCTTCCCTCTCTGAAACTACGCAATGACCTCGTTACACAGCCAAACCTGATTGGTCGCGCCACGTCGTGATGTCATCCTGTTCACCAGGTGATCCTTCATTGGGTGGTATCAAACATGTGAGTAATTTGGGAAGCGAGGAAGATAGTAGCTTCCAGGGAAACAATGATACTAAACAGGACAGGAAGAGAGTGAACTCCCTCAACATGTGTAGGATTCTGCTCTTAAGTGTACAAATTTCAAGTCACTAAAATTGCTAGTTTTTACCTGAAAAGTAAAAGGGTTCAGATAATGAAATAGGTAAATTTGGGTCTTTATTTGCCCGATATTGCAATTGTTGCAAGTCTTGGAACTTTGCCGGTTCTACATCGAACCTTTTCAGATAGATGTGCCAGTTCCAGAGCCCTCTATTTAAGGATAATTTCACAGAGTGACTAGGTAGGCCCAAATTCCAGAGAATAATAAAGAAAAAAGCTGTAAATATACTTAATATGAAGAAAACATCAAAACACACACACACAGTGGGATGTGATTTGTTTCTTTGGCCCAACCGTTGTAATATTTAGATACTTTGGGCCTGTAAGTTTAAAAGGGGGGGGGAAACAAGTAAGAGAATCTATTTGAAGTTGCAGTAGAAATGGTCCCCAAAATGAACACAATTCACATTCAGTTAACTCAGCAATAATGGAAACTACTTTCAGATGCAGTTCAGAGATTTTTGAACTAATTCAGCGAATTTTGTTTAACCAAACTACAGTGGTACCTTGGTTCTCAAACAGCTTGGCTCCCAAACAAATTGGCTCCCGAATGCCACAAACTCGGAAGTAAGTGTTCCAGTTTGCGAACATTTTTTGGAAGCCGAACGTCCGACGCAGCTTCCGCTTGAGTGCAGGAAGCTCCTGCAGCCGATCGGAAGCTGTGCCTTGGTTTTCGAATGGTTTTGGGAGTCTTAACAGACTCCTGGAATAGATTAAGTTCAACAACCAAGATACCACTGTAGTCCATTCCAAGCACTGGTTTATATGTTGCCCTTTATAATCTAAAACCGAATTCTACACTGAGCTGAAAACTAAGCCTATTAAGCCTATTGTAGGCTAACATTTCCACAAGCAAAGTGGAAAATC